CAGCCAGTCGTCTCTCCGGTGGACTGAATTTTTCGCACCGCATTATTAGAGGTTGCAAGAAGAATGCACACGATGCAACGCGTTCGACAAGCGTCGCTACGAGACATCTGTATCCGCGGACCATCAATTCTCTGGTTTACGATCGCCGGTGTGAATAAAATCTGATCCAGTACCTCTTGAATATTAATGATCCTCGGCGACACTTCGTATACACGTGACCCGCACTGCTAGCCACGATAAACGCGTTTATGGATGTATCGGAGTTCATTTCTCCCTGCTACACTCCGTTTGCTTTATTCCGACTCCGATGGAGTGCTCGTCACGTCTGCCTTTTTACGTTTTCACGTTTTCTTTAAGTACCGCGCTCCGAGACCGGAGAAACCATTCTTTCCGGCTTTGCCGAGCCAGCTAAAATTTTGGATATATTAGACAACGTAGAGCGAAAATGCTGCTACCTTGCGCCTCTTGGTTCATTAACATATGTTAAGTAGTCATCGAAAAACACATCATGAAGTTGAACTTGATTTCGACTCGAAAAGTTAATGCTGTTCGAACCTTAAAAAACAAATCAAAGCAGCATCGTGTAAAATTGACGCAGGATGGTCTACCTAGGCTCATTTTATAGAGGAAGGTTTCTAGTTTAATCTCTAGTAAGTTGTTTATTTTTTGTCATTTTTTTTCTTACTCTAAAATGCTTTGGAACGTAAGGGTGGTTTTTGTTAGCATCTTGACGACTTTAACTGACTTCGTGAAGTTCGAAAAATTATAGCATCGCGCAAAATTGACGCAGGGAGATCTATCTGGGCTCATTTTATAGAGGGAGAATTCCAGTTTAACCTCTGGTAAATTGTTTATTTTTTATCGTTTTCTTTCTTACCCTAAAATGCTTCGAAACCTAAGGGTGGTTTTTGTTAGCATCTCGACGACTTTAACTGACTTCGTGAAGTTTGAAAAATTGTAGCATCGCGCAAAATTGACGCAGGGTGGTCTACCCGGGTTCATTTCACAGAGGAAAGATTCTACTTTGACCTTCGGTAGCTTGTTTATTTTTTGTAATTTTTTGCCTCGCTCCGAAATGCTTGAAAACGTAATTTGTTGATGTCTTGCGACTCCGTATGTCATTCACGTAATAAGGGAACTGGGTTTCTTAAAAATAGAAGGTCGAAGGGCCGCGATTAGGTTTCCTACTTGCCATAACTTTGTTGGGTACGTGTGCCCGCGTCTGCCATATTTTTCGCGGTGCTCGCCTTCGAAGATTAAACTGGGACACCCTTTACAATTACCATAGGGCACCGAAGCCGGAATACGAAACCAGCCGGGGAGTATCTTCTATTCGCTACACGAAACCCATTAAAGACAAACCTTGGCCAGGGATCGATCGTAGCCATCGAACCTTACAGAATCCTCGGGGCTCTAAGTACAGGGCGGGACAGGGCTGGGTTTGCATAGGATTCGCGCTGATCTAAAATTCGAAAAGGGCTGCCGGCGTGCCGTTAGGACGATGACAGATCAATACGCCGCCGCAGCGCTGTCTCTCTTCTCCGCTTCTCTCCCGGCGAAGTCTTCCGCCCTTACCCGAGATTCCTTTCGGCCCCCTATAATAGAATGTTATATAAGCGGCCGTCTTCCACCCCAGACTGATCCTTTTATATGATAATTGCAACGTATTTGCCGGAGATCGTGTATAAACCGGCTTTATTGGGACGAACTGCATTGTCCCTCGGCGCGAGGCCGACGGATTCGCAGTGACCCTCATCCTTCTTCGTCCTATCCTCGCTTCTGACCTTCGTTTACCTTCGGCCTACCTTTCCTGGCCGCCCTTCTCCCCCGCCCTTCGCTCGATATTACCTCCAGGACAGTCGTTTGATTCTCGAAGAAAAGGGAAAGTTTGAAGGCGATTCTCTCAGCGGCTCATCAAGACATTTCGACGAACCAAACGACAAATTATAGCTGTTAGTTTCCTGTTTAACCTTGATTTTTTGCAAAATTTTAGCTAAATCGCTGCGGCGCGAGAAAAATATTTTTCTAAAGCTACCCCCTGTGGTTTGCTGCAAGAACGAGGGCCGAGTTTGAACAATTCTTTCTGGATGACCGTTTGCGTTATCCGAATGAAACAAAGCAGAAAATGTAGCTACGTTCTAGTGCTATTTCGTGAATTTTTCGCAAAATTTTACCTCGCTCACCGAGGTTAGGAAAAATCATTTACCGTATCAAGCTCTCCGACCGGTTCCTCCCAGGAACTATCAGCCTGCACTTCGCAACAATGTTTCGCATTAGCAGCTCCTTCTACCGCGGCGAAACGAACTACAAATGGTAGCCACACGTCAGAGTTTCCCCAAAATTTGCCGCGTTCTCCCACCCCGCGATCTCCCTCTAATTTCTTCCGAACCCTCGGTCTATATTTCGCCTAATTAGCGCGGTTAATCGAGGTCGCAGGGCTGGGCGCAGCCAGCCAGCAGCCAGCTGATCGAGCCCGGTGCATCCTGGCCGGGAGGGGGGCGGCTAATTTATCCTCGCACCTATTCGAAAGTTTCTTTCGCGTGGCCGCTAAATATTCATGCGAAGGGCGGCCGAGCAATTTCGTAGAAAATATTATGTTTCGTAACGAAAGTGGCTAGACGGCTGGCTAGTGGTTCCGAAGACGGGAGCCGCGCGCGCGGGTGTTGCAGGGTGCGAGAAAGGGCGGCGGGTGGGGTTGGTTGGCCTCGCGGAAAGAAGACCGGGGAAAAAGTGAAACTAATTTTCGTTCGAGCCTGAGCCGCACCCCGGGTCTCTTCGTTCTCCCCGGCAGTTCGGAAAGTTTCCTCTGCTTACCTAGCAGGAAGTTGATATCCGTGGTACGTTAATCCCGCAAATAGATGACTTTACGAAATGGTACGAGGCTGTCTGGATGAGCGCCGCATCCCACGCTGGCAAGGATAAGCTTTCGCCGCTTCCGGCTGCCGGCTCTCGCTCCTTTTCGAACCCAAGCTAGAGCTTCTGTAGGCTGATAGTATCGGGCCACTGCTATCCAACCGATCCCTGGCAAACAAGTTTTACCCTGTTCCAGCTGTTTTCCGAGTTCGCCTCCCTAGATCGCTGGCAGAAAAGTCGAAAACGGGGTCTCCGGATCGAAGGGCCATTAAACGTTATTAGTCGATCTTTGACTCGATGGAACTTCGCGGATAGTGCTCGCAGAGGGGTGTGTCTGGACTCGTTTCGAAGCGGGAAGATCCTACTTTCATTTCCTGTAAGCTGTTTATTTTTTGCCATTTTTTTCCTTACCGTAAAATGCTTTGGAACGTTGGGGGTGGTTTTCGGTAATATTTCTCGATTCCGTGTGACTTTGCGAAATTTGAGAAATCGTAGGATCGTGGAAAATTGTCAAAGGGTGGTCTGTGAGGACTCATTTTAAAGGGGAAAGAGTCTACTTTGATCCTCGGTAATTTGTTTATTTTTTACTATCTTTTTTCTTACTGTAAAATGCTTCGGAACGCAAGGGTGGTTTTTGGTAACTCTTTCCGATTCCGTATGACTTCGTGACGTTCGACAAATTTGTAAAATCGTGGAAATATTGTCAGAGGGTGATTCATGTGAGCTCATTTTAAAGGGCGAAATCTCTACTTTAACATGCACAAAGCCGCTTTTTAAGCATTGCCGCCATCGTGCAAAGATTCGCCAGAATATAAGAACGATATTTTGAATGATCTTCTAAATTCAATTAATTCCATAAAATTCAAATCATTTTTTTTTCAAGACTCTACCCGCCATGAACTTGAAAAATAAAGCCTCCGCTATCCAACGAGCCAACAAAATTCGATTTTCGATACCATTTAATCTCCAAATGATCGAAAAGTGAGTCGTCAGTACTAAACGCTTTAAATAACACTTTTTTCAAAATTGATAACTCCGTCATTTGTTAACATTTTCGCTTAAAATAAATTGCAACGGGATGCTGAAACATGCATTTATGTGCTGTAAAAATTTTGTAATTATTCGTTTAGCGATAGTTGTGTAATAAATTCCGAAAGTTTGCTTGTTTCCAGACTCCTCGGATTGCGGACAGGGCGGACGTTGAACGGCACCGGGACGGCGGATTTTCAAAGGGTGGCCCTTTATGATTTCGTAAATGGTGAAATGTCCATCGAATTGCTTTTTCCAGGTGTTTTGACAAGAAGCGTTTCATTCGGGCCCGCGTTACAGCCGTTGAAACGCCAAGATGCTCGACCGCTTTCACAGTCACTTAGTTCCTCGAGTAGAGAGGGATGGATAAGGAGGGCAGAGAGGGTGGAAGGAAAAGGGCGAGCAGGAGAGCACTTAAACACTCTGACAGTTAAATTTAAACTGCCCTGTGTTGCGTGGACTGTCATCCGCCGGTGTTGATTTGCGTGGCAATCTCGAAACTCGTTTCGTCCAGCTGTTACGCGAATTGCCGACTATTGTTAACGATTACTTAAACATTTCGACAAACAACGATCCGTTCTCACACGTTATTTGATCACGCAGATTCCGAATCTCGAAGTTACTATCGTTCTCGCCATCTGGGAAATTCGATTTTTAAAATGTAAGCCGTTGTTGCAACTTTGTTAATTTTTTCCCGGTTGAACCGTAAATGTTGCACAACTTTTTCTTACATAGATCGATTCCTCAGATTCTCCCGAATCCACTGATATATATCATCAAAACATTCCGAGCTCGGCAACATTTTTCAAAACGTCCACAAAATTACGAAACCCTGGAGTTACGTTTCCAACTTTGTCAATTTTTCGTGGTTGCACCGTAAACGCTGCTCAAATTTGTTTTATACAGGGCGATTCTTTAGACTCTCCCGAATCCAATGATATATGTCATCAAACCATTCCGAGCTCGGCAATATTTTTCAAAACGTCCACAAAATTACGAAACCCTGGAGTTACGTTTTCAACTTCGTCAATTTTTAGTGGTTGCACCGTAAACGCTGCTCAAATTTGTTTTATCAACTTCGTCAATTTTTAGTGGTTGCACCGTAAACGCTGCTCAAATTTGTTTTACACAGGGCGATTCTTTAGACTCTCCCGAATCCAATGATATATATCATCAAACTATTCCGAGCTCGGCAATATTTTTCAAAACGTCCACAAAATTACGAAACCCTGGAGTTACGTTTCCAACTTTGTCAATTTTTCGTGGTTGCACCGTAAACGCTGCTCAAATTTGTTTTACATAAATTCTTTAGACTCTGTCGAAACTTCCATAATATTATAATAATTATAATAATCTCCCATAAAATTTCCATAGTATTCCGAACGTTGCAACATTTCTTTCAAATATCCACAAAATCGTCGATCTCGCTTCACTCTTTCTCGCGCGAACGTCCGAGCGCATCGTTCAAGTCTGAGATTAAAATTAAAGCAGAAAATTGTGAAAAACTCACCCCCCCCCCAAAAAAAATTCAATTTCAAAGCGAACGAAAAATTCGCCGGAATGCCAGGGCGAGCCAATTAATTGTTAATTAACCGAACGAAAAAACAGAGGTTGCAGGGATCGTCTACGGATCGGAGGAGAATTTCACCGTCGGGGGCCAGTGGCGTAGAGAACGAGGCTCCCCCCTCGGGTTCAATTTGCCCGTAATTTGACCTTCGCTAATTAACCTGTATATAATTGGATATGTTTAAGGGGATCGCGACGGCGCGGCTCGGCGCGGCGGCGGCGTAAACGTTTCGACGCCGAGGCTCTGCGGAGCTATAGCTTGTCACTTATGCGAGAATTCGATGGCCAGCAGCAGGTCGGAGGGCACCCATGGGGTCTTTTACCCCGGAATCTTTTCTACGGTAATGCGATTCCACGATAAGGTCGCCGAATAACCGGTTAAAGGTCCTGGAGTGACCGTATTCGCTGTTTACAGCGCACAACGGCCTTTACGTACCATAAGAAGTCTAATAAAGAGCAGTTCAACCAAGTAGTTTTCTTTACCATTACACCCCCCCCCCCTCCGGCGCCACCCCTCCAATGAAACTTCACTGTCGCCGATTCCGACCGATGCCGGCTTAAACTCTCCGACAACTGTTTGTAAATAAAACGCATTTCGAGCAAGATGTGTCCGATTCATTGTCCACACCTGGCCCCTCCTTTAACCGAACTGGTCTCCCATTGTCGTCGAACGAATCCGCTTTTCTACGAAAAGTTCGAGAAAATTTTATTCATAATATATTCAATATATTTGTTGTATACTTTAAT